CAATAATAAAACACAAGGCTTGTCTTGCATAAACAGTACTTAACTTGTTACTTTTTTACTATTGCATATATGGCTTGTGAACAGTAACAAATATTTAAACACAACAGCATATTTTACTTATACACAGACAACTAAATTATTCAAATATATTATATTCAACAATAAAAATACACATACAACAAATCCAAAATGCAGCCCTTAACAACAAGTCAATTCTGACCAATAGCATATATGTTTTATCACAAAAAGAAGCAAAAACTCTCTTAGCAAACATGCTACTTAGCCTACAGCAAACAAATATAACTTTTCAAAACAACAATAACAACTGACCAAAACTAGTAGAATATAGAAAAACAACAATAGACCTAGTATTTTGGTATATAGACAAACTATATGCAATCAAAACCAAACTAAACAAATTAAAGCTTTACTTAATTGAATAATGTACTAACTATAATAACACAGATACATTAACCTAAACACAAATTGCACATACAATACTTCATATATTAAGAGAAAGAAAACTCAAATGCTACAAAACATTAATAAATATTATAAAACAAAACTTAGAGGATACCACTTATAATTTAGTAACTTCTAATTCACATATATTTACCTATTATCAAATACTTAAGAAAGCAGCATAAGTAATTAAGCATAATATACCTATTAGCTATTTAGAATGCATATCATCTATAAAGAATAAACAAGCAATAATCAATCACTAAACCATTGATAATACAACCAATAAACTAAAACTATGCATGGGCTGCAAATAAAATAACTCTAAACTAAAAAAAGAAAAATATATAAGAAAAGTTGATATATACAACCTTCAAAAAATAGTAGTCAACAGCAACAAAATTATTAGAGCAAATATAAATGTTCTAAAACAAACAACCAAATACAATAACAATGCAAAAATACAAAAGAACCAAAGCACATTGTTAAAACATTACAGATTAGCAAACAAGACAATAGAAAACCCAGAAGTAGCTAATTATATACAAAATCTATAGCAAAAATGCAAAGACTATAAATATATACTTTTTAACTAATTTAAAAACAACAAATAATTAACAATATATAGCAGAATACAATAATATATAACATCTTATCAATAAAGCAACAATGTAAAATAATAGCTTTTGGCTAGTCTTTTACAACCAAACCACTTATTACAACCTTGATAATTAGCTCAATTATCACACCTTATCAATCTAAAGTAAAAGTTATTACAAACAAAACACAATTTATAAAACTAGCAGAAATAGTGAATACAACTACAACAGAAAACACATATCAAATATACTATCAAATAACTGACCAAGTTGGCTAATATAGAAAGCAATAGTTACAAAAAAAGATCTATATTATATATTTACAACTAATGACCCTATTACTTATACTACACAACTAAATTCTCCTATTATAGAAACAGACATAAATCACAAAAACATATGCTATGATATTCTATATCCTATATAGCAAGACAAACCAATTAAACACAATATCAGAAAATTTGTTCATCATACTTATAATGCTAACAATATAGCATACTAGCAATTACAAGCAAGAATACAAATTTGGAACACTAATTACAAAAACTTGGATTGAAATTCCTTTTACAATTACTTAAACTATTAATATGCTTCAATACAAAGACAAACTAATCCCAAATACTCTCAACTAAAAGTTTTCAAAATAAAACTGCTATTAGAAGAGCTGCCAATACTAAAAGTTCTGCATAAACATAATAACAAGAAATATCTTAACCCAACATGTACATGATGCTATACTACAACAAAATGCAATTATCATTTGCTAACATGCAGCTGCAACAGCACAAGCTTATAAAAATAATAACTGAAATAGTGAACAAAATTTTGGCTAAAAAGATATAACAAACAACAAAACATAGTACCAAATAACAATACTAATTACCTAAAGCATATGCTTAACAAATACACAAACTAAACTAATAAAAGTAACATTAGAAATGCTATTACAAGATAATACAAAACACATAAACAAAATAGTATAAGTACCAAAATTAAAATACAGTTTATCAGTTTACTTAATGCATAAAATCACACAAAGAATATACAAAGAAATATGATTAACATGATATTAAAAACAACACAATATGACAAACAAATTTAACAAAACACAGCTACAGAAAGCTAATAAAAATATAACAACAGTCCTAATAGCTATAACCAATATATATAATGCAGTATTAACAGATCTAAAAATAAAATTAAACTTGAAATTTAGAAAAAACTATTCATAAATTACAATATATCACCAAATTATATTAATACAATAGTAGACTAAGTAAAAACTTTAACTCTCTTTAGCAAAGTCTGAGTTATAGATAAATTAGTCTAAGCTTTAGCTTTTAGAGATTAAATAATATGTACTACAGATCAAAATGTATTTAGATATTAATAATCAATAAAGAAACTGAGACAAGATCTTACTTTTTTTAAAAAAAATCAAAAAAAAATCAAAAAAGCTAGCTTTAAGTGCATATTTAGTTTTTGTAACTTTTTTATAAATTTTATTAGAGTAAAAATTATATAAATGTTTTTTAAGAAAGTCAAAGTTGATATAATATCCCTGTTTGTAATTTTATATGATTTTGTATTTTTTTGGTAACTAAAAAGTTTGCTAGCTAGTTAAATAATAAGTTTAGATCTTGTTACTTGACTATAGGATTGTTAAGATGATAGTTGTTCATTTAGTTTTTGATGTTGTTGTTGTTTATTATTAATTATTTTATTTGTAGTTAAAGTAAGAAATGTAAGTTTAGAAATAAAATAATTATTTGGATAAAAGTTATATAATGCAAGACATTTATACTCAACAATTATGTAATATGTTTTAATTTTTTTACTAATGATTATTTTATCACATGTTTTAAAATTAACCAATAGAATTGTAATATGATAATTAACTTTAACTATTAAACATTTAACTTTTTTATTTAAATGCAATTTTTATATAAGGTAAATTATGTTAATTAGTAAACTGTTTAAGACTTTGTTACTATCCAATCTTGATTACTAATATTAATACTATTCTATAGAAAACTATTTTAGCATTAGTTTTTCAAATGCAACTAAGTTTTACTTACTTGTAAAATAACTTATTTGTATTTATTTAATACTACTAATCAAATTTTTAGTAACTCTAGTCTTATTTGTTATATATAATAGTAACTTCTTAAACTGCAGATTTGACAATTTGCATATCTGTACAAGGTTTATGCTCTGGATGATTATGCAATTTATAGCTGACTATATTGGAATACAAGATAACTACTGTAATGTAAAGCAAAATAATAAATTCATTCATATACATTTTTTAATTACTTAATAAATATATATTTTTTAATTATGTTTTGTTTTTTTTGCATTTCACATGCACTATTGTAGTCAGTTCAATATTTCTTAGAATAGTTTGCATTTTCTTCATTGAACAGATATCAGTTGCATATAAATTATGTTCTACTTTGTTCAACTTAGCTTTTTTATACCTTTTTCTTAAAATATTAGATGACTGTAAGTACATAGTTAAGTATTATTTTTTTTATATTATTAATAATGCAATAAAATTTTCAATTGCAATTAATATCTTAGAATTGTTTATAAAAAATTGTTTGAATAAATAACTTTAAATATTACATTATTATTGCTATATATCCTATTTATGAATTTAGTAAGTTATTATAATAAACCAAAGATTGAGGCATTATTATATAGGCTAAGCTTGGGTTAGCCTATTGAGAACAGGCTGTTTAGTCACTGAGACCAAACTGATCTTTTAATTGATCAGCAACTAGTTGACCATATTAAAAGAGATAATTAGATTTGGCAGATGGATGTTCTAAAGCTTAGATCACCTTTTCTACTATTAAGAGATAAGTCAATTATCTCTTCAGAGGATATAGTAATCATGAATTAATATATAAGCTTTGTGAAGATAACTCTACCATGCCACTTAGTAGAATATTAGAAGATAAGGTATTTAAGAAAAGTATGAATTAGGTAATAGGACTTATTTAATAAAGAACTCAAGCTTTTATAAGCAAACTTATCAAAAGTTATTTTTTATTATAAGTGAACATGCTCTTATTATATATATTTACATTACTATGTTTTACATAACTCTTCTAATGCTTAAATATATTTTAACTATTAAACATCTTATAATACTTAAAACTCTTTAATCTATTTTATCTCTTTTCTTTCTTTTATCTCTTTTTTCTCTTTTATCTCTTTTCTCTCTTTTATCTCTTTTCTCTATTAAAATTTCCATAACTCTTTTATCTTCAGAAAACTTATTAAAGGCTAGAGATCTGCATATCTGTATACAGATACTGCAGCACATTAGCCTCTAACCCTTACATGTCTCTGGAGTTACTTGTACATCTCATACTACTAAAATATTGGGCTGAGTTTGGGCCTTGTAGAAAAGTCCAGACTGGCCTAATAATATCTACTAATTAATTATATGACTAAATTAAGCAAATGAAATAATTTAAAAGTTTTAAAAATAAGATTTGATGTTAAAATAACACTATTCATATTATATGTACATGCATGAAGCAATTTACAGTTGACCCTTCTGAGATTTATTTTGTGTTAAAGTTTTATAAAAACAAATTTTATTACTAAAAGCAATGTTTATCATAAAGAAAAAAAAAACTAGATCATTAAAATTATTTTATTTATTATTATTTAATTTTTATTTTTTTGTTCTATTAGCTCTTCAATGTTTTCAAGTAAATGATAATGTAACTTATACTTTTTAACTGCCTACTCAGCTGCTTTATCTGTTAATTCCTTATTATAAGCATCTATATATTACTATGACTTATGAGCAAATCTGTGAATTTATATTAGAAAAACATTTATAAGAGCATTAGAAATTCTTTTTAATAAATTATTATAATTATAAGTACAAAATTTTCTGGTTTCCTGTTTTATAAAGCCCTAATATCTTTCTATAAAGTTATACTTACAATAATATTTGGAGTATTTTTCGAATATGTGCCTTGCATTAACAAGTGCTTCCTCTAATAGTAACTTTTGCTCACAAAAATTAGGCTATGATTCTATTATTTTTTGGGCATAACAATTTAATCTTTCTGAACTATTATCTTTTTTTTTAGAACACTACTTACATCTTAAAATGAATACCTTCTGTTGACCAAAGGTTATGCTTTTAAGTATTTTCTTCATGCCTTTTGATTTTTTTTTTAATTTTTATATGTAGTAGTTATTTGGAAATATTATTGATTGTGTCTTTTTCTTTCTATTTTTATTAACATACCAACCATTATGCATCTTTGGCTGTGATCCTCTAGGGCCAAGGTTTATTTTTGTTATGACCAATGCATCCTCTGTTATGACATTGTGATTTGTTGACTGGTTAAGACAAAACATACTAATATATCTGAGATGCAACACTTCAAATATTATAATTATTTGAAGAAGCTTATTTTATATTACAATATTATAAGTTAAAAGATAAAAAAAAAAAAAAAAAAAAACCACAATCTGATCTAACATATGTTCTGCTTTTCAATAACCATCTTTTTATACAGAACGAATAATATAAACCTCTTTTTGTTTTATTTTTGGATTAATTTGCAACTGTTTATCAAATAGTTGCATCAACCTATAATATAGGCAAAGAAAACAGAAACCATAATAGAATGTCATATGTGTTTTGAATGAAGAATAATTTCATCCTTCTCAGTTTAGATCTTTCGACATTCATCATTTATATAAAAATGACTTTCATTATAAGTTATTTGTATATATTCTTTTTCATCTTGCTTAAGCTGAGGTTCTAATATTATATCTAGTATATTATCATTGAATTCTTTTATTTTTTTTTTATATTTGAACATTCTTTTTAACCACCTTTTTCTATATTCTACTACATCTGGCTGCTCGTGACCTAAATAAAATAGTTATGCCAAATCAATGTAATGAAAAAAAAAAATAATACCATTATATTAAACTTCTTTTTTCTTTCTTTTAATTGTATTTTAATGAATGCATATATCTTTGGCATGTTCTTTCAGTAATTGTACTCTTTCTAATACTCAACATTTTTAAAAATAATAAACCTTTAATATATGTTTTTAATGCACTAGGAAAGCATAACTCTGGTTTTTGCTATCATAACCATTCCTGACAACCTTTGGTAAACTCTTTATTGTCAAGCAAGCCTTTGTTTTTTACATGCTTTTTTTGTTAATATATAAAAATTTTACCTGTTTCTATATAGTGCTCTCACTACTTCTAAATACATCTCACCATATAATCACCCTTACTCTACACCAACTATGCAATCTGAAAACTAACGTCTATTTATTTTTTCTATTCAGTAATAATTGTATGAATTTACTTATACTTATCAAACATAAATAATCATAAGTAGGTATATTATCTTTTAAAGATTTTGTTATCTGGCATTGCCTATTAACTTCTTCTAATCATTTATACAATCTCACATTACTTATAGATAGTGTAAGGTTATTTACAGTAGTTGCTTGAGGCTGTTGCATTAGTGATATATTATTTGCTAATGTTTTATTATCAAGTAATAATAATACATTACATGAAGTTTTAACATTAAGTAATGATAGATTACTTGATGTTTCAACATCGAATAATAGTAGATTACTCAATATTTTAATATCAAGTAATAGTAGATTACTTGATGTTTTAATATTGAGTAATAGTAGATTACTTGATGTTTCAACATCAAGTAATAGTATATTATACAAAGTTTTAACATTAAGTAATCTACTATTATATGATGTTTTAACATTGAATAATAATATATTACTTGATGTTGAAACATTAAGTAATGATATATTACTTGATGCTTCAACATTAAGCAACAATAGTATATTATTTGATTTGATATTTTTTTTTTGTTTTTTTTTGTTTTGTTACCAGATTGTTGTTTTTGAGGTCTTGGTATATATTCTTTTTTTTATGTTTATAGCTTTATCAACTTCTTGCACTGTTAATGCAGATTCTTCTTGGATGTTAGTAATTTCTTATACTTCATTTTAAGACTCAAAATAACCTTGTTTTCTTGGCAAATTATTTATTTGTTTTAGTCTTTTTGTAAGTTATGATATTGTAAACTAATATTTGTATTATAGCACATGACTTATATATATAATTTTAGATAGATGCAGTCTAGTATGTTTACAAAACATTATTTGCATAATTTACTCATATAATATATTACATAACATTTATAAAAAAAGTCTATATAAAGTTAATTAATTATTTCTTATAACTGATTGGATTAGCTTTTTATTAAGTTTTATAAAAGGTTATTTTAAAATTCTTATAAAAAGCAATTAATTTCATGTTGTTAATATTAAGAGTTTTACATATTTTTGGCCATAACTTTTGATATACCAAACCAATTTGGATAAAACAACCACCATTGGATTCAGCTTAGCAAGACGATTCTAATGAGCACAAGATCATGTAATTCTGATTATGGGATCACGAGATCAGGATGATTTTGATAAAAAGCACTAATTATAATACATGTAACTTAATTCTGATTGGCTCAAATTACTGTACCAGAAATTCTATTATTTCTATCATTTCTATCATTTCTAATAAATCTA